GATGATGATGATGATGATGATGATAATGATGATGATAATGATGATGATGATGATGATGATGACAGTATTAATGGGTGAAAATGGCAATGACTAAGTGTGCACACATATAAAAGCATTGGAAATGAAGGTATTGCTTATCTGTTGACATAAGCGCAAAAGGCGATGTCTTTCCCATTTCGAGAGTGTCATCCCAAACTGAGCTTCATTTTTTGCATGCTCTTTCTTTAAACAGTGTGCAACAAACTAATACTTTCCCATTATATTTTTCATTTTAATTTTTTTATTTTATTAAAATTTTCAATTTAATTACCAATTTCTTTTTTATTTTACAAACTGAGCTTAACAACGTCAAAATGAGACTTAACTAATTTGAATTCCAATCATCTAAGAATGTCAAATAATGTTCTTAGTGATTATAAAAGAATTACATAGGACTAAAAAAGAGAGAATTCGAAATAGAGGAAGGTGGATAATTGATAGGAAATCTGAGAGGTTGGTGGAAGTAAGCATTATTAATATTTCACAAAGTGTATTAGTATTTCTTTAAGTAAATAAATTTATCATTTCTATGTTTCCAATTAATTAGTGGTTCAGGTGGTATTACAAGCAAAGTGTTTCAGTTATTGAATGTACTTTTTCCGGAAACAGTGTTTTAAGTAAAAAGTAAACAACGGTTTTTAGCAAAAGTAAATTATTATTAAAGCTGTATGCTCCTAATCATTGCAACTTGCGCTTAATTATAGGTTATCATGTTATACTACGGGTTTTTATGCTTAACAATATTGTACACAGTGCTAAGTGTACAAACCGAAATTCCGGCTCAGGTTGTTACGTTATTGGATAAGAAGTCATATGTTGAATACAAATTTATTGAATGGAACTACTACGGTTTGTATTTCCATCATATTTCCGTAAGAAAAGATATCAATTTAATTTTCATAGCATTTGATCAGTTTTAATTAAGCTTGCTAAATTAATCAAATGAAAGGAGGGACATTCAAGAAATTATTATATCCATTTCATTGTTGCATAGAATTGAATTACTTTTAATTAATATCAAATTGTAATGAGGAGAAAAACCGAAACATTTAAACGAAGTCTTTTTTTGGTTTTTTTTTTTCAACAAAGCAAAATTACTAAAAGATATCGGCAGATTCCTATTTCTAGACGTTAACATTACTGTAGCTTGCTTATCCTAAAGAAATGCATGAACTGAATTTTCTGAAATTTGTCAAAATTTTTTTTAATACATTTTATTTTTTTAACCAATCATCTTTTGTTAATGGATTATTTTGAAGATGATGGTCCACAATTAATCGTACCAATACGTTTCCGTACTCGATCAATCGATGGACGTCTGATAATGTTATCAGCACAAGGACCTGAAGGAAGCATATTCATTGTATGTAGCAACAATTTATTTTCCTTTCCTTTTTACACCACTTATATGACATTGTATCATATCATATCAGTGCTTGCCTGCAATTTTCGTACTTTCAGTTTAGTATTTTAGAATCTACATTGATAAGATATATTTATTAAGCAGTAATAATTTACTCAATACCTTATTCGTAACTGTAATTGCGTTATATCTAATTTAAAATGAGTGAAAGCAAAATTAGAATTTTTTAAATTGTAGAAATTAAAAAAAAAAGGATTAAATAATTCTAAATAAATTTGCTTTTATAGTTATCAAATCTTTCTTGACTTCTTCGATTTCTTTTACTACCGTATCATTTCATTTAAAGTGATGAAAATATGAAACTAAAAGCATTTCATATAAAAATAACAATAGAATACCGTAACGTTTTGTTATGCGATTCATACTCTTTATATGTTAATATCTAAATCATTTCTCAACGAGTAGTCCCAATTAATAATTATTAGGGATTGAAGTAAATCAATATTGGTTAATATTAATATCAATTCAATCAATCAGTCAATCATTATCGATATCAATCAGTCAATCATTACCCATACTTATACTAATCTAGAAATATATTTGTGAATTAAACATATCAAAAGTTTGCAAGGAATTGAATGGAAATAAGTAAAATTTAAAAGTGATGTTAGCGGCTTCAATTTGATTAATTTCACTATTATTAAAAATTTACCAGTTTTATTCGAAAATTCCACCCCATCCTTCGAGAAAAACCAAGGGGAACGAATTAATTGTAAAGTATAACATTATTTGAAATTCCTATTTTTGAAAAATTAAATTACTTTTTGTCTTTATTTGAAATTTTCATTCAAAATTTATTTTTTTTGATAGATCAGATTAAATTACTTTGCAATTGCTTTTTGCTATAAATTAAAACGAATGGAATTGCTTTATTTGGCATATGAAACAATTTTTTTCTCTGATGTTTGAAAATATTTAAAATGGCTAATCATAACTTAAATGTTTAAACAAATTATAAGGCTTATAATGATTCTTAGATAAAATACTTAATAATTTGCAACAAAAATTCCGTTTCACCAAGAACGTTACATTTCCAACGTAAACTTTTCCACCGTATTAGAGTTATCAAAATTGTCCGGTTATTCTTCTAATGAAGTAACTGCATACCGGATAGTAGATAAACATAAATCTTTCAGGAAAGTAAGCTTTTCCAAATAATTAAACCGTTAATTGATGCTTTTTTCTCCAGCTATCTGCATATATCGACAATACAGCGGTTATTGTTGATTTAGTCGATGGTCACGGGAAACTCATCAAGAAAACTCGGGAACAGTTACCCGGTTTGATCATTTATCCCCATTATTATCATAGTAAATCAATTTTATTATATATAACCCTGGACGCAATTCCGGAATTCTTATCGGCATAATATCTTAATAATATTTCTTTTTTGTTGGCAAATTTTTTACTCCTTTTCTTGGTTTCTATACAAAAAAAAAACAGAAAGAAGAGCAAAAAGAAATTTCTTTAGTTAAAAATTAAATTCTTCTAAAAATAGGAAAAAAAGTTGAGCTTTTTTAAAGTTTTGCAGAACTATCTTAAAAAGTTTCACAATCCTTTAATATTGAACTTTAAAATAAAATCATATGTATTTGGCTGATTCCTTCCTTTGAAAAGATAAAATTTTTAGGCGCAAATAATGGCATGGAATATTCGATGTCAATTCAGTTAAATTTGGAAAAGAAAATGTTAAAAATGATTTATAGTGAAGGAATGATGGATTCGTATGATTTTACTGATAATATCAAAGTTAAAAATCGTATACAACTTGTTATTACAACCGGAAGTAGTGGTAACTTTTATTTTCTTCTCCATTATATTTGGACAAATATTCGAAATATTTTCCTCATTGTTGGAATGCAACTTCTTTCGACCTACATGTATATCGTTTCTTAATATCATCATTGCCATTATCATCATTGTCATTATTACTATTACTATTATTGACATTATTACTATCATTATTATTATTATTATTATTATTATTATTATTATTATTATTATTATTATTATTATTATTATTATTATTATTATTATTATTATTATTATTATTATTATTATTATTATTATTATTATTA